TGAGGTGACATTCCATGTCCCCAGAGCTAGTCTACGCCACCAGGGGGTGGTACGCTAGGACGCCCGCTCCTGCCTACCACCCGGTGGGCATAGCACCCGACCCCGATCCTCTTCCCCGAGGGTGGTGGGTCCTCTGGGAAGTGGCTCCGTGTTGCTTCTTTGGGCTGTGCCCGACCTAGCCCCACGGGGCCCCAAGGCTCGGCCACCAGACGCTCCCCGGCGAGCTCCCCCCCAGGCCTGGCTCCAGGGAGGTGCCCCGGTTTCCCTCTTCCGGGCGAGGTGGCGGCACTCTATTTCTTGCTCTTCATCGGTGTCGTATGAATCGCTCTTTGTCTGGTCCCTCCCCCAGAACCAATTTGCCTTGGGAGACCCTACCAGGGGCTAATGCCTCCGGTAAACATAGCTCCCAGGATCACAGGGACACTGAAACCCCTCCACCGCGATAAGGTGGCGATTCATCGGGGGGGCTAGTTTCAAGAATATAAACCCAAAATAATAACTGTTTCCACAGGATAGTGACGATGATATCCTGATAGAACCATATCCGGCAGACAGCAACAATCCAGGTGTTTCTCCATCACATAACACTTAATAACTTTCCACAGGATGCTGATGATGATATCCTGACAGAACAACGTCAGTCCCACAGCAACAATCCAGATGTTTCTCCATTACAGGTAGGATGGCTGACAGTCAAGGCTCACCATCTTTTAAGTATTCAGAAAAAATCTGAAATTTGCACTTTCAAATGTGAAAACTAAATCTTAAGCAGGGAAAATGTAGTGTGATTTTCAATATAATCAAATGATCGCTGTTATTTTAGTTTTCAATATCAGTGACTTTAATGCTGCAGGTGATTTCTTTGCATGTGTATTTGTGTGTATACATACATATATGCGTACACACACACACACACACACACACACACACACACATATACATACATACATATGTGCATACAAAAGGTATCACTTTTCTGCATTCACATAGCAGTGATCCAGGTGATTCTCCATCACAGGTAAGATTTCTTTACATCCATGTTCATAATCTGTCAGGTCTGTCACATTGCAGTAGTCAGGTGTCCACATAAAACAGCAAACACCTCTTTGTGCACAATTCCTTTTTTCTACTTAGTATCTTTTGATTTCACTTTGACACAGAAACACAGTCCTGGGAAGCACAAAGTGGGACTTTTGTACTAATGAGACTGTAACTTTGGGAGATTGTCCTTCGAGCTCATTTACTCAGTCAGCTGAAGTTTCATTTTAGCTTCAGGGGAACTTCTGAATGGAGGACCCATTTCAATGTTTTGGGTTTCATATGACCCCCTGACTATTGGTCAATGTATTATTTGCTGAATGCTTTGTTTTTCTACATAGTCCAGTTTTGTGATTATGACCCAAAAGGACAGAAGCAGAATTTGTGATAAAAATCAGCAACCATTTTTGTAGTTCTTTGACAATCATGGAAAATATGTACAAGCTACACACCACCTGCAAAATGAATCTAATTAAAGAACACACTGCCGATGTTGCTGTTCAATTATTGTTCCAATTATGTGCTTATACATTCTTAATGATTTCAGTGACCCTTTCTTCGGCACTTCTGTTAGTTTATCTTGTGCAGTCAGCCAGAAATGAGTGGCTTTTTGCTGCTGAATTCAGTCTACAAGGTGGCATGTGTGCTTCTTACTGTGCTCTGTAGCATTGCCAACAAGCTTCACAAACCAAGTGGTTAGTCCTATGTATTGGAGATGATTCCACTTTGGTACTTTATAATGTTGAAAAGCTTGCTGTGACAGTCCTGTAGTCTTGCTGTAAGCACTGCCTGAGGAGCATATTTCTCAGAAAATGAGCTAGTTAACACAGGACTGTTTATACACTTTTCTTTCACCTGGAATTTTCTTCAAACTTTCAAGTTTTCTGAACCATATTATTGGAGTGCTGGACTTTGTATTGATTGAGTTCAGCTATTATTTCAATGAAAAGCTGTGGGGATGTTATAAACAGCTCAACATGTTGTAAATGTAGCATGCATTAGTTATTGCTTTCATTTTGTGCTGAGAGGAATGTACCTCTCTGGAGGTTCTGTGTTGGAGTTGATGATAAAAGCCTCTTCAAACTGATCAACCATTGCTTGTTCGCCTAAAAATCCCAAATAACAATTTATCAGCCGTGTTCATGCACACATTAATAGAACTCAGACTACAAAAGTAGTAGAATCTCGCTGTGATACAAAATCATATTCATTTGTGTTGCACAATGATACATTTTTACACCAAATGTAAATCTGATATCAGTGGTGTTTCACATTACATCTCACTAAACCTGTGCTTCTCCCTGAAGATTCCTGCCGGGGTAACGGTCTCGTCACGCTTGGGTACAAATATTCGTCGCTTGATGGCTCAACTTTTCACAGTATGTCATTACAACACACTATAATTTGTACAATTTAAGTTGTTACTTGCCTTTTTTCATTGTAATACCAGCATGTCTGTGGCTGTGACCAGACAATTGTGTCTCACTAACTAGTTGGCAAACTGATTGATTTGATGGCTCAGTATGGTTCCCCCAACCAATATTCCATCTCCTATTTAACCACTTACTGACAGTCAGAAACAACTACTGCATGCATACTCAAGTCACTTGTGCAGGAGTTGTCATTAATCTGACACTGTAGTGTGAGCTGTGGACAAATCTACAACACACTGGAGGGTCACTGTGAAAAGCTGCCAGAAATGTTGGTTTGATTAACAGCGTGTCTTTAAAAGAAGCAAATCAGAAAGTGAGTGAGTCAGGTTTAGCAAAGATCAACAAGCAGTCAGCTCAACTGTGACTGCAGTGTTTCTAATCTGAGAGACACCCATCAGGTCTGCGTACCAGCCTCCATTACAGAACTGTAGAATCCCTAATCGGATGTCTGCCAGTCAAGTTTTACAGTCTTTTGGGTCTTTAGGAAAGAATCTGGATTATGCACTTCAAAATGTGAAACCTAACTTTTAAACTGAAAAAATATAATGTGATTGTCTCATTCAATGAATCACAAGTAGGATGCTTTAGAAAGAGGGTTTGCAATTTCTCAGGTCTGTAAACCAGCCTTAACACCAGCATACTGAGAAAAAACATCTTAAAATGTATACCGTCATTTAAGAAAATCTTCAGATGCTTTAACTTTCCGCCAGATTTTACAGTGGTCTGGATTTATTTTAAATGGATAAAACAGGAAAGACCAAAACATAATCACTCCCTCGTCAACTTCCACTCGCTCCAGAATTGATGCCCAAAGCAGGCGAGCGTTCAGAGGAGCTAACTTTTAAGAAGCTCCCGGAGCTGAGATGGCGTGACCACAACTGTCCTCCATCTGGCAATGCACCAAGAAACAGTCGTTGTGCTCCCACATTCCTGTCAGTTCTCCTGACAATGTGCCTCTACATGAAATCTCCTACCAGATAGTCGTTGGTATTCAGAGAGCTTAAAAGAAAGCCTTCATCTGCCACCTTGCCGGCAACAAAGTCAAACTCCTAGAGCTTTCAGCTCGTAATAGACCACAACAATCCTCTCCCTGTTAGACACCATGGCTGTTCACCCTACCATGACATCACCACGTTCTCTGTATCTCTGCCTGGGTTGCCAGGTCTGATTCATCCTATCCACCAGCAACCTACCCTACTTCAACCTGTTCCCAGCTCCACCACTACAGCCATTTCTGGCCATGGGATACCAACTCACCTATCCTCCCTTCACAACTGGCACCAGGCTGCCAGCTCCTCCCTTTCATCCTCCATCCCCAGCAAACTCTCTGGTTCTCTCTGCAAAGGAGCAACAACTCTACCGCAAGCTCCCTCCGGATGGTAGGGTCTTCAACCTATCTCAAAGGCCGTGTCCAGCCAACTTAAGGAAGAAACTCATTTCAGCTGCTTGTACCTGCAGTTTTCATTCTTCCATCATCATCTAGGGCTCTTGACCATAGGTTAAGGTTTGGACTGCAGATCAACTGGTAAATCCCGCCCAATCACAACGGTCCAGTCCAATGCCTGCATTGCTGCTAATGCTTCACCAAGCCGCCTGTCCATCTCACACTCCATCCATATGAGAGCCAGGGATACAGAGTTATCCATTCTGACTTTTGTACCTTATTCCTAAGTGTGTAATGGCACACATTACATCCTGGTCTTCCACATAACACTTAATAACTGTTTCCACAGGATGCTGATGACAATATCCTGACAGAACAACGTCCGTCCCACAGCAACAATCCAGGTGTTTCTCCATCTCAGGTAGGATGTCTGCCAGTCAAGGCTCACCATCTTTTAAGTATTCAGAAAAAATCTGAAATTTGGTATGGTAGAGTGGGTTGTCCTCTAATCGCAAGGTTGGCGGTTTGATCCTCTGCCCAATCACAGTTGAAGTGTCCTTGGGCAACCCAAAGTTACTCCCAATGGCAGGCAGGCACTTTCGTGGCAGCTTTGTCGCCATTGGTGTATGAATTTGTATCTACTCTCAGATGTACGTCGCTTTGGATAAAAGCGTCTGCTAAATGTTTATTATAATTCGTGAAAACATGCTCCTTTTGTTGGTTTTGGAGGCTTCTTGGTCAACAAAGGAGTTCTCGCAGCTTATTCAAAAACCTTACCAGCAGTATTCAAAATCTACTCCATTGTTATTGCCACGATGGACAAGCAAAAATCCATCCTTGTTCAACTTGCTAACCTCGCCCTCATCGTCTTTATGAACAAAAGTCGAAGCAACTCTCTCACAGTGATGCCTCTTGTGCAACAACTTAGGTGACGATCAGTCTCCAATCCGTTCCTCTGCCATGTTGAACACTTCCCAGGCTATTTCAATGATATCAACGACTCTCTTCACTTCCTTGATAAAAGATTCTGCTCCTCCTTCCATTATTCAGTGTAGCTACAGTATCCAGCTCCATCTTGTATTCCTCACCTCTGTCAGGGACTCAAAATTCCCATGATACGTCTGCAGCATAATTTATTAATCATGGTAATTTTCCACTGACATCTGTCTGCCTATCCTCAGGCATCAGCACGTTCCAACGTCCTACTCTCTAGCCTCTGGCCGAAACTCTCGAATCAACGTTTCTATTGGCCTACCTTTGGCGTCCTGCGATGCACAGAGTCCATTGTGAAGTTGACCGAAGAGTCGCGTTCGATCTGCACTGCCATCCTATGGAATCCCTTGCACGTCCTGTATTAGACCTTCCTGCATCTCTGAAGATTGCCTGATCTTTTTACTCAAACAAAGTCAAACCAATCAAGTGGGCAATCCAACGGCCATCATGTACTCCAAAGTAGAGTCACACCCAAGCCCTTACAAATTCAGTGTCAGTCGCACGAATGATGAACCATGAAGTTTGAAATTTCGAACAAAAACCAAAATGATGAAGCAAAAAACAAAGGAAAGAATTCCTTGAAAATGAACTCTCGTCTCTCGTGATATTTTGAAAAATAATTTCTTGTTTAAAGCCCAAGAAAACAAAAATGAATGTGCTGCATTAAAATGAGAGCCAGGGATACAGAATTATTTATTCTGACTTTTGTGTCTCATTCCTAAGTGTGTAATGGCACACATTAAATCCTGTTGATGTTACTGTTCAATTATTGTTCCAATTAGAGTGAAAATGTGCTTATACTTTCTTAGTAAATACAGTGACCCTTTCTCAATTACTTCTGTTAGTTTATTCTGTGCAATTAGCCAGAAATGAGTGACTTCTTGCTGTTGAATTAATTCTACAAGGTGGCATGTGTGCTTCTTACTATTGCAAACAGCTGAACATGTTGTAAAATGTTGCATGGATTAGTTATTGCTTTAATTTGTGATCAGAGGAATGTACCTCTCTGGAGGTTCTGTGTTGGAGCTGATGACAAAGCCCTCTTTAAACTGATCAGTCATTGCTTGTTTACCTGAAAAATCCCAAATAACAATTTATCAGCTGTGTTCATGCACACATTAATAGGACTCAGACTTTAAGTAGTAAAATCTAGCTGTGATACAAAATCATATTCATTTTTGTTTCACAGTGAGACATTTTTATACCAAATGTAAATCTGACATCAGTGGTGTTTCACAGTACATCTCACTAATCCTGGGCTTCTCCCTGAAGGTTCCTCTTGGTGTAACAGTCTCATCACGCTTGGGTTCAAAATATTTATTCCTTGATGGGTCAAGTTTTCCCTGTATGTCATTACAGCAGACCATAATTTGTTCAATTAAATTTTTTTTTTTAATCTTTTTTTTTTTTTTTCATTGTAGTACTAGCATGTCTGTGGCTATGACCAGACAATCTCCTCTTGTGTCTCACAAACTATTCAATTCAATCCATCCATCCATCCATCCATCCATCCATCCATTATCTATACACCGCTTAATCCTCATTAGGGTCGCGGGGGGGCTGGAGTCTATCCCAGCTGACTTAAGGTGAAGGCAGGAGACACCCTGGACAGGTCGCCAGTCTATCATAGGGCTACACTTAGAGACAGACAACCAAGCACACTCACATTCACACCTACAGACAATTTAGAATCACCAATTAACCTCAACATGTTTTTGAACATTGTGGGAGGAAGTCGGAGAACCTGGAGAGAACCCATGTTGCACGGGGAGAACATGCAAAAAAGATCCTGGCACCCCCACCGGGACGCGAACAGGGGATCTTCTAGCTGCGAGGCAACAGTGCTCAATTCAGTTCAGTTCAATTCAATTTTTATGTACACACCACACTTCACAACTTATGTCATCTCACAGCGCTTAACATAGTTAGGTGAATACCTTGTGAATTTTAAACAAAGAACCCAACAATCCAAAGTCAGCTTTGGACTCCTTCTGAGCAAGCGGTCAGCAAAGGTGGGAAGGAACCAAACCTAACTAGTTAAATAACTTACTGATTTGATGGCTTGGTATGGTTCCCTCCAACCAACACTCCAGCTCCTCTGTAACCATTTACTGACAGTCAGAAACAACTACTGTGTGCATACTCAAGCCTGAATTTACTTTAAAATGATTTCAAAAATGGCCTTTCCCCCTGTTAATCTAAATTCACCTATAATGACAAAGTTAACTGTTTTTGTAAAATTCCTGTAAATGTATTGAAAGTAAAATGGTAAACTCTATCATTTACAAAAGTAGTAAAATGTGTCCTGAAATAAGAGGATTGTATTGCAGTATTGAAGTATTGTAATTTCTTTCTGCTCAGACCAAAAAGGACTCACTGTCTCACTCTCTCACTCACTCTCTCTCTCACACGAGAATACCACTGGAACCAACTATTCCACAATTTCTGGAAACCGTGGAACCACTGCAACCCATCGTTCCACAGCCTCTAGAACCACAAGAAGCCATCTTTCCGAAGCCTCTGGAACAGCTGGAACCCATCGTTCCACAGCCTTTGGAACCACTAGAAGCCATCTTTCCACAGCCTCTGGAACCGCTGGAGCCCGTCTTTCAACAGCCTCTAGAACCAGTAGAATCCATCTTCCACAGGATGCTGATGATATTATCCTGACAGAACAACGTCCGTCCCACAGCAACAATCCAGGTGTTTCTCCATCACAGGTAGGATGTCTGACAGTCAAGGCTCACCATCTTTCAAGTATTCAGAAAAAAATTGACATTTGCACTTTGAAATGTGAAAAGTAAATCTTTATCAGGGAAAATGTAGTGTGATTTTCAATTTCATGAAGTGATTGCTGTTATTTTAGTGTTCAACATGAGTGATTTTAATGCTGCAGGTGATTTGCATATGTTTTTGTGTGTGTACATACATACATACATACATACATACATACATGCACACACGTACGTACATACATACATACAAACATACATACATACATACATACATACATACATACATACATACA